CCTATATAAATTAGAATAATACTGCATTAAATATAGTAGTTACCGTGAATGGCCGAAATCAAGAGAATGTCGACTTTCACCGTTGAATGTCAGTAATCAGATAGTTGCTTTGGTGAATGTCCGAAACATTTGCGATATGCAATTTGATATCAATTTATTCGTTGATATTATTATATTCCTTTAATATTTTAATATCTGCCGAGGATAGATTAGGAGAAACATCAGTGTTCGGAGTACCGGTTAAATGCATGTCGGGCAGTGGCGCTTAACTATGCAAAAACATCAGTGTAGTGTATACCGGGCAAATGTATGCCGGGCAGTGGCACTTACAAAGATATATTTCGGACACTTACCAAAGAGACCATGTGATTGTCAACATTCACCGGTGGAAATCAACAACCACAATTTCATTCATCCACAATAACATGATCATAGCATACTTTATTTATTCTTTCAGATTATAAAAATGTAGCTACAGAAGAGCAGCTTATTAAATCAAGGTATTCTTTACATTCTCCTTACAGGTGTTTATTACATTTCTGTAATATTTGGAGAGTTGGTCCTTAGTGTATACGACTAACTTTCTGTTTTGAGAAAAAATCATTAATTGTCAGTAGAATCAATATGGATATTACATAAGTTCGAGAATAAAATTACATTGCTGCACAAAGCTCACGTCAGAGAGATTCGTTTGTAGTTTAAGAACAATTAATGCATTTTTTTATTTAAAGGGAATCATAATTTTAAAAATTTTCCTTTTAATTTATATCACAGAATTATATAATTTACAGTAAATTTTTCTTAAATATTCTTTGCACCTTTTACTATGAATTAGATCGGCCATTTTTCCAAATAATTCAAACTCACAGAAACAGGAGCCATTAAGTCGGGACTACAGAGGGCCTGAATAAAATTCCTTACAAAAAATAAAGTGCTCATTAATAAGCATTTTTAAAGATAATTTCTTATGTCGTTACAAAAACTAGTATTCTGTATAAGTGCTTATTAATAAGTATTTTCAAAGATAATTTCTTATGTCTTTACGAAAACTAGTATTCTGTATAAGGGGTCCTAAAAAATTTAGTAAAATTAAAAAGTAAGCCTTTTTGTAGTTTGGTTTCTCCATTCTTTTGCAGATTCCATAAGCTCATCATAAACACAAGGGAGGGGGGCCCAGTCTCACCCCAGGGAGCAAAGGTTATTTAAACGAAACAGATCAGTTCTACGAATGGACTGAATTCTCTTATTGTTTGTTTGGATAAGAATCTTTATTAAACGTATAATAAAACGGACTAAAAATACCTTTTATAACTGTAAGGACCAATAAATAGGAATATTATAATTAAAACCGTCATTGAACAGCCATCCTGATTCTGATTTTACGACTACCAATGCTCAACTCCGCAGCCTTATAGTTTCGAACCCAATCCAGAAGACAAGGGAACTCCTGGATCAAGCTGGAAAAATTTGCATTCGTGTAGGACTTTTAATGAAACTAACCTGCATTTGCGTTACATGGAGAGGAAAGTCATGAAAACTTCCCAAAGTTAGCCTGATGGCAAGGGGAATCGAAATCTTGATCCGTCTACTGCTCAGGATAGTTTACGTCAGCACTGGAGCTGATGTGAGCCGGATGCGAAATTCGTATTAACCAGCCATCGCTGAGATTTAAACCTGGTCACCAAATCAAACGCTCTATCCCTTAAGCCACCACGGCTCAAAATTTCATGTTTTAAAAACGTCGTTGAACAGCAGACCCAATTTTGAGTTCACGACTACCAATGTTCAACTCCGTAGCCTTTTAATTTCGAACCCAATCCAGAAGACAAGGGAATTCCTGGATCAAGTATTGGAAGAAATTTGTCTTCGCAGAGGAATTTTGAGGGAACTAACAGCATTTGCCTTACAGGGAGAGGAAAAACACGTAAACCTCCCACTGTTAGCTGGGCGGCAAGGAGACTCTAACCCATGATCATGGATATTTTACGTCAGCACTGTGATCGGTGCGAGCCGGGTGAGGAATTCGAATCGACCCCGGGTTACCTCATTGAGAAATTATAAGTATAAGTATACTAAAATATATAAATATAATGTATAATATTGTCTATAATAACTCTAGTCTTTCGAGATTTGACATAGTAAAACAAACTGATCTGCTGAGATGCCGGAAGCTAATCAACAATAGCAAGCCTATGTAATAAGTCCTTCCTCTTCACTAGTAAAAGTGTAATTCAGAGTTGACCGCTAGATTAATTTCCACACAATCCACGTACACGGTTTTACCCCCTACTCTCCTATAAAATTTACATTTCGAATGTAATTTAGACAGAGCCTATCAATTGTTCTTTAATTAAATATCTCAGCATGAGTTGAATAAAAGATTGACGTAAGAAATTGATTGAAATATGTTGAGGAGAGCAACAAAAAAAAGCACATGCATTTTTACCATTGTGTTTTGAAGGTCGAATAGTAGTAGATATTTTATAAAATAATATTTGAGGTTTTTATACTTAAATTAATTCATAATTGAAAATTATTTTAATGTTTAGAAATATTAGCAGTTCTTATAAAATAATATATTACATACCACCTTCGGCGATCAGTTTGGTCACCTTTCAAATTTATCTAGTACAACAGATAAGCTTAAATGCCAAGCCAAATACCCAGCACATCTGTATTTAAGTATTTTAATTTTCAGTCCTCTCTTTATATCCTAACACTTTAATTACTTTAAAAGAATGTATTGACCAAAATTTTTCACCGTCTAGTTGTTGCTCACGACATTTCCCACTCGAAAATACTTTGATTTCAACTTTATTTATTTTAAAGACACGTTCATTGTAATATATATTTTGTGTTAATATCTCTCAAATGACTTTAGTACGTTTATTATATTTTTGTTTATCTGTATGATGATACTTGTTTTGTTGCAATAATTACGTATGATGAATCAAGGAAAACCTACTGCAATGATATTTCAGTTTAAACTTTTATCTTCATTTTAAAATAACCTTTCCAATAAAATAACTTAACCAAGTTCAATAACCTTTATAATTTTATTTTATAATTTCTCAACTCGATGATGTGATGGCTCATGTNAAAACAATAAAAACATACAAAAATGTTGATTATTACTCAGTATTATACAGAAATATAAGCAATACTCCTTAAGTGAGCGGGGCTACCCCACTCTCCCCTATAGTTAGAATGTGCGCTTTAAAAACTATTATTATCTGCACCTTTTAATAAATTTACTTTTAATACATTCTTTTCAAACATTAAGCTATCTAACGAAAAAAAATCGCTAATAGCTGCCTTCTAACTGCGGAAAACATTTTTTATTTTTCTCCAAAATCTCAGAAATCTCAGTTCTACAGCTAAGCTAACAGTGAACAGCAAATGGTTATTTAATGATATAAAATTTGAGGAAGCTGGATTATTCGCGATTCGAAAGTATTGAATTATAGGGTTACTTTTTTTTAACGGTTCTACATTATTGCTTAGATTTGTATGTGTTCCAGTTATTGTTTGAAGCTTGCATCTAATAATATACATTATCTGCTTATCCTCAAACCATTACAAAATATATTTATCATACAAATTTGCCAGAAAAAAAACAACAACTTGCATTTACTATTAAGCATCAATTATTAATGTATCAGATAAATTGTATTTCTGCATATAGTAGCTAGAACCATCAATTAAGTTCTTTTAATTTCAAGCTTCTTTATATTGAACAAAAAATTCAAAACTATTTAGTTGCTAGTGAAAAGTATGTCTTGATATTGAAACATAAAGTCAATGAAAACCATCAACAACAAAAAAGAGTTTATTATTAGAAATTAGCCGAATTGTTGCTCCAGTTGATATAAATTCTTATTATCATTGTGCAGTGATTGTATCTATTTTTAATAATTTGGAATAAGAAAAAGCAATGAATGTCAGTGTCTATGAAATTAGCCGAATTGTTGCTCCAGTTGATATAAATTCTTATTATCATTGTGCAGTGATTGTATCTATTTTTAATAATTTGGAATAAGAAAAAGCTATGAATATCAGTGTCTATGAAATTAGCCGAATTGTTGCTCCAGTTGATATAAATTCTTATTATCATTGTGCAGTGATTGTATCTATTTTTAATAATTTGGAATAAGNTCTTTAAACTTTGGAATATGAAAAAGCAATGAATAACAGTGTCTATGAAATTAGCCGAATTGTTGCTCCAGTTGATATAAATTCGTGTTATCATTGTGCAGTGATTGTATCTATTTTTAATAATTTGGAATAAGGAAAAGCAATGAATAACAGTGTCTATGAAATTAGCCGAATTGTTGCTCCAGTTGATATAAATTCTTTTTATCATTGTGCAGTGATTGTATCTATTTTTAATAATTTGGAATAAGAAAAAGCAATGAATATCAGTGTCTATGAAATTAGCCGAATTGTTGCTCCAGTTGACATAAATTCTTACTATCATTGCGCAGTGATTGTATCTATTTTTAATAATTTGGAATAAGAAAAAGCAATGAATATCAGTATCTATGAAATATTTGCATCGATCATAAATTTTTAAACTTAATTTTTAAATGTTAAACTAACAAATCGGACTACAAACAACGCAACCCGCTACAAGGTCATTCATTTTGCTTTAGTTACAGAAAACAGGCAAAAAAGACCTTTAACAAAAAGAAAAAATGTCCAGGAAATTCAAAGAATCTGCATATCATTATAAAATTATGAATAGTTTTTTTTAATTAATGGTATTTCCCGAAGAAAAGTCCAGTTGTGTAGGAAGTGCTCATGATGACACCTGAAGAAGCGATCTGGATCAAGGCTACTACAACTCTCGGAACCACACCCGTACCAGCCACTAAGACATCTTGGCCTTTTGAACAATGAGCATTCCTGGTCACCTTTAGCATTCAAGAGATGGGCGCGGATTTTTATTTTTCCTTCATTTCTCATGACAATTCTTTCTTCATTTTCATATTTCTTTCCTTTGTTTTATTAATTTTTTTAAAGATAAATGTTGGGGAACTAGTCGGAAAAATGGCTACACCTTTTGTCACAGCTTATGGGTATAAAAGGGTGCGCATGTTAGATTATGGGCATAATTGAGTTAACGTTCTCAAGAATCAAACAAAATAATCATGAAGGTACGTATTTATGTAGAAATTTAATTAAGATATTTTCATCAATTTTCTAAAATAAGTAAACTTGGTTTTTCGAATGTCTTTTCATATATTTCATTTTAGGAAATCTATCTTATATTTTACTTTTTAGAAATTAAAAGTTTTTGTTAAAAGCTAATTCTTAATTTTTAGCGTATAATGTAATTAACAGCTGTAATACAAGACTATAATAGGGAATTCGTAACAAATTAAAAATCCTAAAATCTCCTAGTCCTAATCTATTCTAAATGTGAAATTAAAATTCAATTTTCAAATGTCCTTTCATACATTTCACTTTAGGAAATCTATCTAAAATTTTACTTTTAGAATTTAAAAGTTTCCGTTAAAAGCTAATTCTTAATTTTTAGCTTATAGTGTAATTAGCAGCAGTAAGACAAGACTATACTAGGGAACTCGTAACAATCTAAAAATCCTAAACTCTCCTAGTCCTAAACTATCCCAAATGTGAAATTAAAATTCAATATAAAAGCAATTTTTCAGCTACCAATAAAAAAGGTCTTTTTATTGATTAAATTTAACGACAGAAGTACATGGTAATGTGATTTGCCTCTGTATAGTTTTATGTTTCGTGAGCAACAAATGAAAATTTTAAAAAATGATTGATTTTAATTTTCCTCTTAAAAGCAACAAAATAAAATGTTTTTACATACAAAGCAAGAATATACTTTATGAGCCATTTTTTAGCGTAGTAATTAGAAATTTTTGAAAAATTCCTGTAAATATGCATTCCTGTATATTTACAGGAATGCATAGTGTACACAACACAAAACTTCATAATGAAGTTTTGTGTTGTGTACACTGCTTGTATTTATTTATTAAAATTTTAGTTGAATGTAGATTCTTTGATTAATTAGAATTTTAAATAAAAATGAAGCATTCCTATTTTATTTATATCTTAAAGAATGAAAATGTATTATATATGGCAAATCGAAATTAAACCTTTTTCCCAAAATAAATTTCAAATTTGAGATTCGATTGTCGCAGAAAATCTGTATATTGTGCAAATTTATTTTAATTTAAGCAAAAAATAGAGCGTGAAAAATATTTACTTCTATGGTGACTCTTTTATGCACATTTGCACATCAATATTTGTTTTAAAGACAAATGAATAATGATTAAAGATAAATGATTATTTGTAATATATAACCTTACAACTAAATATTTTACTCTACTCATTATAAATATTCGAATGGATAATTTTCACACTGCTAATTCAATCATATTTTTAATTATCAGGTCATCATTCTTTTTGCTCTTTTTGCTGCTTCACAAGCCGCTGTTCTTCTTGGAGGAGCAAGTGAACAGTTCAGAACTGAGGATGTAAGTATTTTATCAATACCTCTATTTTACCAATCAATATCTCTATCAATACCTCTATTTTATCAATAAAAAAGTAGAAAAAACTTTAGTAGTTTATCTACTTTTTCAGTTACATAACATTAAAAAATGGAAGCAAAGAATGAAGAATATCATTTGTCATAATAGAAATGAGAAATAACAGATATGTCACAGGTTGTGATAAAATAGTTAAAAACTTAATAGTTTAAAATAAAATACTTTTTCATTTATTTAAAATCAAATAACAAACTGATATAATATAACAAAAATAAAATCGAGGTAAATATTAAAAGTTTCTGTAAACTAAAATTGATTCTGCACTAATTACTTTCTGTTGCATGTTCGCAAAAACAGCTTGTGGTTGGAATAGGCAACTTATTTTTTTAAAACAAACCATGTTAAATTCCTTTATTTCAACATCATTTTAGTTGATGGAATAGCACTTTTGAAACTATTTATATTTTTTAAGAAAAAATTCATCGATTTTTGGCATTTTATTGTAAAGAAGCATTTTTTATTTAAAATTTGGCAATGAAACACACTGATGTAGTTTATTCAAAGTTTCTTTCAATAGTAGTTGAAACACATCTAAAAACGTTGTATATTGAATTCTGAAGTAAGCTTTGCATTTAATTTTAAAATGAGCAAATGCTTAAAAACTTTAAAAATAGTGGGAGTTGAAATGTATTATTTTTTATATTTTTAAAATAGTAACTTTAAAAACAAAACTTTAGTAGTTCTTTTATTTTTAAAGCAGTATTAAGTATTCTGAAATTGAATTAAAATTTAAAATACTCTAAATAATACAAATGGTAATATTTTTGTTCAATTTTGACTCTTATCAAAAAAAAATTCTATTCTAAGAAATTCTATCTAAATTCTATCTTTGTATTAAAAAGCATTCCAATCTTATGAACAGATCTAAACTTTGTTATAAGTTATTATATTTGCTACTTCTCAAATAAAAATTCCAATAGTAGATAAACATAAATAAAGTGTATAATTTATTGTTTGAGCATAATTGATTGTATTATAAAAACAGCTACAATATCACCATATGATGAATACGCGAAATGCTTTGTAAATAAATTAATAATGTTGGAGTATATTTTATCTGTTGTTTAATTGATAAAAATATTTTTTAAATATTTTTAAAATATCTTTCAAATTATTAAAGATATGCATGACTTTTATTTAAGCTAAATATGCAACCTTATTTGGTTGACTTTGTTTGATATTTAAATGCGCTTACAGGAATTAAATAGAAAAGCTAGTGTTCAACATAATATCAAAAACAAAATCCAGAGCATTTTAAAAGCATAAAAATTAACATTTACTGTTAATATAAGTTTTTAAATATTAATTCATAGATTTGCTAGTTTCATAATACAATCAATTATCAAGCGTAGATTCAGAAGCTTTTAAACTAATGATCAAATCAGCAAGAATATGACGTATGGTCGAAGCAGCATAAATTTTAAGGAGACGAAATCAATGAATTTATGAATTAATTTAATTGAAAAAGTGCTTCATTGTTATGTTTATAGTAGTTTTCCTTTCAGCAATTCAATTTATATCATAAACATATTTATGTATTTTCACGTTAAAATGTGATACAAAAGTTTTTCTTAAATTGTAAAATAATTATTCTCGTACTAAAAATTATAATTATTCTCGTACTAAAAATTATACAATCAAAAGTCTCCCATGTACCATCTTGCTTAAATTAAACGTTAATTTTTAGAAAATTGGTAAAGTCAGTACGCTTCATACGTAAATTTGACGTAATATTGACGGAATGATATTACCAATCAGATATTTGGTAAAAAAAAGCTTTCGTAGATTTTACCCTCTACCCTTCGGTAAGATTGTTTTCGTATGTTTTACGAAGTATTTTCGAATATTTACTTTTTGAAGGAATATTTACTTTTTAGATTTAGTAAAAATTATTTTGTGTATTTTACCTATTATTGACGAAGCCAAATTTACCATTTAAATTTCAGTAAATTTCGGTTCGAGTTTATTTATGCAAGTTTTCAGATTTTTGTATAATTTGACGTTTCAACTTACGTTTATTTTGACCTATTGTTAACATAGATACTATGTAAAAAATAAAGTATTCATTCTTACCTAGAAAAAAGTGGTTATTAAAATGGTCGTAAAAGAAACGAATTCATTTATGCATAATTTTGGATAACCATTTTTTGCTATAATTCAACGTTTCACTTTTACGTGAATTTTACAAATGCTTAGTAAAATTTAATGGTGAAATACACGTATTTTTAACGTAAATTTGATGTATTTCTGCTACCTGGGCTAAACTTATCTTTAAACATTTGAAATCTAAAACTGATGCTTAATAAACACATTTTAAGTTATAAATCATTAATTATTATCCACAAGAATTATAACTATGCTTTAAGCAAAATCAGAATTTTTTTTTAGCTTTCAAAAATTTTGCTGTAAAATAATAAATCCTAGTTAGTTGTGGATTTTCTAAAGAAAATTTGGGCTCAGTAGGAGACAAAAGTATTTTTAAGTAGTTAGTCTCCTTTCTTAAGTATTTTTTAAATCCAAAAAAATAAATCCTAGTTAGCTGAGGGTTTTCGTAAAAAAAATCTAGCTCAAAAGGAGACAAACGTATTTTTTAAATACTTGTTAAAATAATTTTTTCTCCTTTTTATATGTATTTTTAAGTAGTTAATCTCCTTTCTTAAGTATTTTTTAAATCCAGAAAATAAATCCTAGTTAGCTGAGGATTTTCTTAAAAAACATTTAGCTCAGAAGGAGACAAAAGTAATTTTTAAATACTTGTTAAAATAACTTTTTCTCCTCTTTATAAGTGTTTTTAAATATTTAGTGTCCTTTTTTAAATATTTTTTAAATCCAAAATAAGAAATCCTAGTTAGTTGAGGATTTTCTAAAGAAAAAATGTGCCTAAAAGGAGACAAACATATTATTTTTTTAAAATATATTTTTATTCATAGGGTGTAGGTAATTACGCTTTCGGTTACAATGAGGGCCATGGATCTGGGGCTACTTTCCGAAGAGAAACTGGATCTCCAGGCGTTGTTTCTGGATCCTACGGACTCTCTGATGCTGATGGTCGTCGACGAGTTGTCAACTACGTAGCTGATGCCGCTGGATTCCGAGCTAACATCAATACTAACGAGCCAGGTGTTGAACCAAAGGATCCAGCTAACACCCTCATCAACAAAGCTGGAGTGATTGCAGCCCCAGCTGTTGCCCATTATGCTGCTCCAGCTCTTCACCATGCTCATCCAGCACCTGCTGCTCCTCTTGCACATTATGCTGCTCCAGGTTTGCATCATGCTCCTTCAGCTCTCCATTATGCCGGACATCCAGCTGGAGCTTTTGCTTACAACAGTGTAGTTGGACATCATGGTTACGCTCATCCAGGACATTACGGATATTTCTATTAAATTATAAGGAATTATATTTCGGAACAAAGAACTCTCTTTTTTTATGTTGTGCCATAGGGTGAGGTTGCGGTAGCCTTATCTGCTCAAAGTGATGCCGTGCTTATACGTTTGTATGTGATGAAAATAAAATGTCTATTTACAGTTATTGTTCATAATATTTTTCATGCAAAAATATACATTTAAATTCAAACTATTTTCATGTTTTCCAAAGATTCCATGCTTCTTCACTTTTCGTTTTTCCAACAATTGAAAAAGACATTTAAAATTGAAACGAAAAATTTAAAGTAATAAAAATTTCTTTTTTTGCTAATAGACTTTAAAAAATAGTTCGAAAAAAATAGAATTGATATACCATATTTTCACTTAAATCATATTAAGCGATAAATTAATTTTAAAAGCTAACAGATCTTCCATTTTATATATTTATACATTTAACATATTTTCCATTTCATAAAAACAGATTAAGTAGTTGCGGCTAGAATTATGCGATTTTGTAAAATATCCATTTAATTTTTAGACCATTCAAATAAAAACACTTAAAATGTCCTGGTTTTTTGGTTGGCAATAAAATACATTTATAAGTGTAATAAGAAGATTTATTTAAAATTTTTAAGCAACAGCAAAGTGATGCTATTGCATACTATAACTTAATACCTTCCCGAAAATAATTCATTTTACATGATTACTTTACATATTAATAATAATTAACTTTACCAAAATTATCTACTTCAATAAAAAAATTATTGCATTTTAATTTTCCAAAAAAAATGATTCAAAACAATTATTAAATAATAATTTTAAACAGAATAATAACAGTATTCAACGCATATTGTGCATACAACCTAAATTTTAACATTACTCGTAATTAACTGCTCTTAATGTTATTTTTATTATCTTTTCTATTTTAACTTTTAAGAAAAGCATAACGTGGGTGGCACTATTCTTTTCTAATTTAAAAAACCCATTTTAAAACGAATTGCTGTTTGAAATTTGAAAGAAAATTTTCAGACGTGGAGCATTTAATTTTTAATTATTGGAAAGAAAGAAAAATTTGTTGCAAAGGTCATTGAAATTCATTAAACACTTTTGCAAACGAACTTAAGATCTGAATCACCAAAATATTTTTTTAGTAAAATTTGCACTAAAATATAGAATAGATTTAAACAAGAACTCTTGCTTAGCCTAATTTTGTTGATCAATTTTTTTAAACAGTCTTTTTAAATATATTTTGCTGAGTTTGCTGTTTGCATGCTTGTTGCGAATACTTACTTTTTGGTTTAAAATGATTTTGATGTATCTTAGTCCAACAGTGGTCTGATCGTAAGGCGCGGTTCCCAATAGATCACTAAAGTCAAACATCAATGGCTGAGATCAGTGAGAGGTTGGGTGACCACTTTGATCAGCATGCGCGGAAATCGAGGGTGCACGGTATCAATCATCATTAATTCATTCTAAAGTAAAGTGCACTTGCAAGCTTTCTGGTTTTTACAAGGCAGAGGAGTTATTTCTTCTGCAGAGGATCAAAATTGTGACGGAATGTTCTTGGATTATCCTTAGGGATGTTTCTCAGACAGTCACCAATAGCCCATTGAATAGTTCTAGTGTGACGTTATTATATACTACTGATCATCTATTTGATGCAATTCACTTTTAATGATCTGCTTAATCGGAAATAAATCTGAACCACATGCATTGGGAAAATTTGTGCATTCCAATTAAAACACAATTGAAAGTTTTTTATAAAAATATATAATAGATTGCTGAAATGTTGCATTTTAGATTATCATTAAGTATGGTTGCTGAACGCATAAAAATATGTCGCAAAAGAAATTAGAACATGTATATTAGCTGGCTAATTTTTCAAACATTAATTGGTCGAAGTAAAATACTTTTTTATTAGAACAAATTTTTGGTGCACCTAGTGTAAATTTATTGTTAAATTGGACAACATAAAAAACATTAAATACTGGCAAAAGTTTATTTTAGAATTAGCAAAGTGATAATATGCTGAAATGATGATAAATGCAATTACTGCATAGCTAATATGTCATACCAAGGGAATTCTACCCTCTGCTCGCTACTCTCACTAACCCCCATGATTGCTACAACCATCTTTAACTTCTTGACAATAAATAGATTATTATATTTAACTGAAACTGAACAATACGAAATAGTTTAGTTGTCGAAACACATATTTGGTTTCAAAGAGTTAGTTTTCGATTCTATTAAGATAAAATTTAAACACTTTGCTTTCCAGTTACAACCTTATTTACAATTTTATCCATTATATCCTATTTTAATTTTTTGATATTTTGGAATTAATTGTATTTTGATCCTATTTTATTTTAAAAATTTGTTTATCCTATTTTAACTTTTAAAAAGATTTTTGAAAATTTTCTGACTGATAGATTAATTGGCAATATATTGAAAAAAAAATTTTTTTCCAAATATTATTGCACAATTTTGTAATTATCATAATGAAGCGAAGCTGTATTTATCACTCAATACAACTTTACACAAATCTTGTAATAAAAGTAAATATAATTTCATTATTGTTATATAAGCGCAAAGCAGATGTAATATGTATTTAATGGGGGATGGGATAGACTGGTTGGCAGAGCAGGCGAAAACGTAATAAAAGATATTTATAAATGAATATTACGGGTAAATATTTTAAATTACGGCTAGAGTTTTAGTTGAAATATGTGGGAAAACTTAATCATATTATGTGATTTTTTTCGGCCAAAATGAATAAGTAAAAGCAATAGAAAATGGTTTTATATTTCATTACGTTTTGATGTCTTATAAAGAAATGATAAATATTTTGAAGATATAGAAGATTTTTGATAATTTATTTTTAAAAATAGAAAGGCCACTGAATTTTAAAAGTTTTCAAGAAAACCTCTGGAAATTTTCGAATGTCATTCCAATAATTCCTAATATCGTTTAAAGAAGTAGAAAACAAGTTTGCAAAGAGTAAATCGATAANTTTTGTATTTATCATAATGCGTGTCAATGTTCACTCAATACAACTTTACACAAATCTTGTAATAAAAGTAAATATAATTTCATTATTGTTTTATAAGTGCAAAGCAGATGTAATATGTATTTAATGGGGGATGGGATAGCCTGGTTGGCAGGGCATTCGAAAATGTAATAAAAGATATTTATAAATGAATATTACGGCTAAATGCTTTTAAATTATGGCTAGAGTTTTATTTGAAATATGTGAGAAAACTTAATCATATTATGTGATTTTTTTTGCCCAAAAGGAATGAGTAAAAGCAATAGAAAATGGTTTTATATTTCATTGCGTTTTGATGTTTATTAATGTAATTATTTATATGATGTTAATTATTTTGAAAATATAGAAGATTTTCGATAATTGTTTTTTGAAAATGGAAAGGCCACTGAATTTTAAAAGTTTTCAAGAAAAGCTCTGGAAATTTTTGAATGTTATTCCAATAATTCCTAATATCGTTTAAAAAAGTAGAAAACAAGCTTGCAAGACGCCATAGTAGTAAATCGATAACTACTATGTTTTCTGCAAAATATACAAATTTGTTCAGAAAAATTAAGGTAGCTGACTTATTTCAGAGAAGATATTTTCTTAGAAATATTTTTTTTTCTTACTTAAGTTGTTACGTTCCTATCCCTTTGAAATTTTCTATTTTCATAAAGCATATGTTTACTTAAAGCAAAATTAGCAAGCAACTATAAAAAAATCATAATTTAGAGTATAGCATTTACAATTAAATTGCATATCTAAGCGCATAACATCAATCAATTTTTTTAAACAAAATATAAGCTTAATTTTCTGAAAGCATTTTTTTCTATTAACTCATAAACACATCACTAAAAATTAAGCACTCATATTTAAAATAGTATGCTGGTACAATAATCCATTACATTTTTATAAACTGTAGCATCGTATGTTAAATTATTTTTATAAATATGTTGATAAAATTTTATAAATATATTATTATAAAAGAATTTGTGAAGTGTTGATATTATTTTTCTCGATGTAGATACTGTTTATGCCGCAAGTTAATGTAATATGAGTTAGGTAATATACGTTTTGAGAAAGTTGAGATAACATGAGTTTATATGATATGAGCTGCGTTATAAATATGTGTATTTTTATAAAATATGTGTTAGTTACAAAAACAACAATAAATCATTGGATCAAACTATTTTATTTTTAAATTTTGATCAAGTATCAGAAGCTCGGTGACAAACAGGTAAACGTGTCTCAATTCCTTCACTTGTCAAGTGCAAAATATCTAGTAGTAGAATTGGTGCGCTAAAGGTGCGTGGGCAAGACCATGATGTCCAATAAAAGTGTTGTAACTGTAACCAAGAGGTCCACCTGCTCTTACAGACACAGCAGAGGGAGCAGCGGCGTAGGCTAGTGCTGGTGCAGCTGGCAATGCTGCTGGGATAACAGCTGGAGCGGCGGCATAGGTCAGTGCTGGTGCTGCAGGTACATGAGCTGGAAGAGCTGCAGGAACTGGTGAAGCGTATGCAATGGGTGCAGCTGGGGCAACAACCAATCCAGCCTTGTTGATGGCAGCGTGAGCGGGATCTTTTGGTTCAACTCCTGGTTCATTGGTCTTGATGTCGGCACGGAATCCGGCGGCATCAGCAACGTAGTTGACAATACGTTGTCGACCATCGGCATCAGTTAAACCGTATGAGCCAGCAACGACACCGTTGCTTCCGGATTCTTTGCGGAAAGTAGCCCCGGATGGGTGTCCTTCGTTATATCCAAAAGCATAGTTTCCAAGGCCCTTAACAAAAAAACAACACTCAGTCTCGTCACGCTTTATAGTTACATTCTAATTGTAATTGAGTTTAAACCTGATACAAATATTAACAAAACACTATTCTAAAAGTGATCTAAAATTATCTATAAATCGTGCATGTGATTCTCAAATATCAGATCTCACAAATTAATTTTAAAAAATTTCAATAACAATAATATTTCGAAAAACTGCATTTTGTTAAGTAATTAATTTTCAGTTATGATCAGAAATATGCATATGAATTTGAATACTATTATCGTATAAATACAAAATAAAATGGAACGAAAAATGTGTAGTAAAGGTTTCAAATTAATATTTTATTCCAAGCAAATTGAGCCAATATAAATAAATTTCATTCATTTATTTTTATTACAAATGAGCCTTAAATCCTTATTTCACGTTTATTCAGCAGAAATGCATTATTTCTGCTTATTAATTTTTAAACTGAGGTAAACAGAGCACTATGTTGGTTCAATTTTTTTTAAATGCAACAACTGAAAACAATAAATATATTTCTGTGTACAAATTTCAAAATAAAATTTTAAAATTAAATATAAGTGTTTTTAAACCTAAACAACATTTTCAAACATATTCAAACGTAACAATTTATTCAGTAAACAGAGTAGTATTAATAAAAATGTATTATATTTTCTTTAAAAATTACTTTAAAGAAAAATAATTTTAAATATTATAAATATAACTTCAGTATAAACAATTTTCGCTCAAATGTCCCTCAATATACTGATTGTCATATTAAAGTGTTTAGTTTTAAGTATTTACTGTTTGAAATAATTTATATATTATCTTATAACTTAATCTCGCATTTATCAAAACAATATAGCCTATTCCTATTGAAACAGTGTGTTGAAAAAGAAGGAAAAAAATGTGTAGGGTAATGTAAACTTAATTTCAAAGAAATTTAATTAAACAATTTAAAGCAAGTCGAAGTTTTATGTATATAAATTTTAAAAAAACACGATTTATTTATAAGAAATACAAAAAATGTACCATTTTTGTAGAAAAAAAATGAAAAAAAAAAACTAATTATTCTAATGAATTTATAAGGAATCAGTTCACATTTTTCAAGGCATATAAATTCTTTTCTCCCTCAAACCCTGAAGTAAAATATTATGTAAAACTCTTCATGCACAAGAAATTATTTTTTGGATATATTTTAGAAAAAAATACAAGAATTTATTTAACTGAACTTTGAAATAGTTTCTTTGAAAAAACTAATTTAATTACAAAAGAAAACTATACTTACATCTTGACTTCTGTATTGTGAGCTAGCTCCAGTTCCGAGGAGTACAGCCGCTTGGGAAACAGCAAGTACTGACAATAAAATAAAGACCTAAACGATACTTATATTTTAGTTGCGCTACATACAACTGCAAAATTGATGTTATTTTTAATAGTACGAAAAAAAAAACTGAAACAGTTAGGAGTTTTATCTGCTGTGTACAATGTGCAAAGACACAATCGGTTTTCTAGTATGTTTTACTAGAAACTACTATTGCTTTATATATATTTGTTTACAAGGAAGAATGTTAAAGTCGTATAGTACTGTTTCAAAAACTATAATATTTTAACATGCTATTAAAAAATAAAATTGTTGAATTCTTCAGAAACATCATTACAATTATTAAGTGTAACAATTTCTATCATTACTAGTTTCTTAAATCGAAATTTTTAAAGTGTATGGAATATAATATAATTATTGCTATAAAGAAATTAGTGCACGCTACAATTGAAAGAAATGACGAAAGCAATGTAAAATTATTGTATTGTACCCTTTCCGTAATTAGTGAAGCATTTAAAACTAATTAACAGTAGAAAGCAAAGAAAGGACAATAATTATTTTGTACTATTTTCCATTCTGGAAATCCAATTCAAAATTTAAGACGAATCAATTGTGATTATCAAAGTATTTTTATTATTTTCATTTCATTCATTCAAGTATTGTAGCGTCGACATCTTTTTGAACCTCAATTAAAAATTTATTACTCATGCTAGCATTATTTTTTTTAAATATTGAAACTATGTAAGTAAACTAACAGTTTTAGATGCTCAAAATTGAAAAACTTTTAAAAATTTCTTTTTTTTAGAAGCTATGGGAAAATATATTTAAAAAGTTCAAACATTTAAATACAAGCGTATTTATGAAATTTTAACAATAAAATTGACGCTAATTTTTATACAATTCAGCATATTTTGATATTCTTGCAAGCAATTTTGCCTCTTTATTTGGTTCATTATTAAAACATTCAACATTACGCTTTTTATCATAATAGTTTTTTCATGATAGTTTATATAAAAAAACGTACAATAGTTTCATACTTAAATATGAAGTTAAAAGAAAGTAAAATACCGCATTTTTTTAAAATAACAATCATATAATCGATGTTTAGATTAAATATTTGAAATTTTAAAAATATGTTTAATCAATCAGAAACCATTTAATTTGTATAATTAAAAATTAAATTAAATATCTGAGATATTACTTTAAGCACTTTCAAACGCCAAAAGTTTAACCACTTCATATGCGAACTTTAAATGTCAGCAAAAAGTAATAGAATGCTGTTTTCAGTTTCTACTCATAGTTTCAATCATATAAGTGCCAAAAATACATTTAGCAATGAAAATACTATTGCAGTTTTAACGAAACTCACTCAGATTTCTGAAAATTATCTCATATACTAGCTAATTACCAATATCAATCTGATTTTTGTATTCCATTAAACTGATTATGTCTGTGATTTAAAAATTTTAAATTGCTAAATTTTAAAAAGCGTTTTAAAACATGAAGAAAAATATAACAAAAATATTCAGTTTTAAGTTTTGATTTATGAAAGAAAAGTAAAATAATTTTACCTTCATGATGATTTGAGAACTTTATCACTCTTGATAATAGTGATTCGAATAATTTCCATCTCTTTATATACTGACAATCTGGACACTTTCTTCCGTATTTTGATAAATTGGTCAAGGTGCAATAATGTATTCTTTTGCCTGTTAAACCGCTTAATTTATTCAGAAAACATCTTGAATACCCATCCTTTGTTCGAGTTTATATTATTTAAATTGGGCGAATATTTAATCGAAGAATACCAGGTGAAATTCATTGAGAAGGTGTGTCACCCAATCACCTTGATCCAGATATATCTCTTCGCTAAGTGATTTGCATCAATCTTGCAACTAATTGAATTAAAAAAATTTTTTTGTATTTAATTATGCAAAAAGAAAGTTAATTTTTTTTGCGATCAGTAAATGAAAATTTATTTGATTAATATTTAAACAATCACAATTTGTTACTTTTGCAGAAAAATTTTAATGATATTTCCATTTATGAAAATTAAATAGAGGTAGTGGGAATTGTATCCTTCTAATAGTCGAAAGCTTTTTGTTTACGACAATAAATCTTTGATGTGACAAAATACAATAAAGTTAAAGGCAATTTTATTTTTTATTACTGAGTTTAAAGTTATTTACTGTAGTTTAAGATCAAATATAGAAATATTAATATTTGTATAAGATATAGCGCACAAATTTAAATAAAGAAAATAGGGTATCGCGACCACTTCAACTCTTATTTCACATCGTTAAACAAATAACAATTTTTAAAAAGAAGTAAAAATACAATTTTTTTAAAAGAACTCAAATGCATTTATACGCCCTGTGAAAAAGAATTCGAATTGTACGAAAATTATATTCTGCGATTATTTAAAACATGAAAGGTAAAAGAGCATGAGTTGAATGCCTATTCATTTATTTTTACTAGTCAGGCCTAGTATTTAAAATGTTTATGCATTTTATACAGTTTAAAAACGTTATACGTAATAGGTGATTGCAAAAAAATGTTGCTGCAAAGTTCTAAAGAAATTAGAACATATCATCAGGATTAAAATTACATTGTAACCCATAACCCTAAATTTCGTCATACGCTAATAGAGGTGCCTCCCCTATTATGATCTGCTTTTTCCTGTGCTTCTCAACAGGTTATAATAGGAGAAGCTTCCTTATCCGCGTATGATGATATTTCCGGACTTGAGTCCCAATCTGATTTTAATTCTGATATTGTGTCATAACTCTCTTATACGTTTTTCGCGACATAACTCGACCCCAGTTATATGTAATGTTCTTAAACTTGTACATTTCGACAAAAATAAACTCAAAATGTCATTTTAATGTCAAAACTAATTTTAGACTTTAAATTCCCAAACCTGATGGAAGCACGGTCAACCATTTGTATAAATGCAACAAAAAACTCGTTTGATTGTGTAATTTTCAAACTAAATTTTACACATATTAAAAAGGGTCGCTTAATATATGCTAATTACTTAATACATATGATACTTTAAGTTGCTAAACTGAACACAAAATCATACTTTCTCTAAATAAGCCTATTTTTCTCTGATGGAATCTGACTCTCAAATAAGCTAAGCAAGCGGCTAAAGTATAGAGAACTGAGTTCCAATAATTAAGAACGTAAACGGGTTAAGAAATTGGGACACTTAGTGACGCCCTTTCAATAATTTTTTCCACTTGTTTATAAAAGTTTATTTCATATAAAGAATAATTTCTAATTTCTAATTATTAAATAGTTAAATTAAATATTTAAAAAAGATTTAACACGATTTTGGTTTCGATAGTAAATAATGCAACGCATCTTTGCGATATCATGGATTGAGTAATGTCTTATGGTAATACATCATTGATTGCGACTCGAACGAACACAATTGAGATGCCGTACTGCAAAATTCACACCGTTACAATTTTATTTTTTTAAAATTACGGTAAAATAATTGACAGAAGTTTGTCCATCCAATTAACCATAAAGGTTATGGTAAAGAACATTTTTACTGTTATGGTTTTGAAACCACTTAAAACTAGTATGGTTTCAAAACTGCAAAATAAATATTTAACTGCACATTGGAGCTAGGCTTTTCGTTAGGTAATGGGCTTTGGAGTTAAATAGTGGTTGAGTTATGTTTTATTAAATGAACCGCGGAAAGTGGTTTAATTAGCTTATCCGGTTGTTTCACCTATCGTAAAGGAAATGCTAGACTTTTTTTGTGTTAAACAACTTTATGGGGCGGCCATCGTTCCTCGAACACGAGTAAGGTATTTTAGACTCACAAACTAGGGATTGCTGGACACTGAAAACTCTTCATGTGTTGATGGGAATGGAGGAAATATTGTGATGCCAATGTGGGGAGTCGAACCACCATTCAGTAGATCAGAGGACAGGCAGATTAGCCCTCTCGGATATAATTTGTACCTAGCTGAAAGGAACTAAGAGGCTTCATTAGGATAGGTAAGTTCTGTTCTAAAATTCTGTTTGTGTAACTGTATTGCTTTATTAAAATGCATATATTAGCAGTCTGTTGTGTTTAATTTAGGCTTATAAGCCCTTGTCAGGTAGAAGGAGGATTGAAAAATTCAGAGAAGGGCATCAAGCGGAATACATCCAGAGCTACGTCGAGATTCGAACCCACTACCTCCGCGCTTCTCACAGCGTTTGGCGGGCGATAACGCTCAGCCAGTATTAGGTGAAAGCAGTCAATAAGCGGTTTTTCTCACAGTTTGAGTACTATGTAATTTATGGTCATTTGTCTGTTTTGTTTGAATATGGTTAAATAACAATTAAATAAATTGATATTGACCATTTTTATCAGGAAATTTTTAATAGTGCACTTCATTCATTCATGAAAGCATAAGAAGTATATTGTGATGCGGTTCATATACTTAGGTAGAAAATATAGTTAGTGTGCCTCATATATTTGATAGTAATGCATGAAAAGTCTTAATAATACTTCTGAATAAAAGTAATAAAATAAGAACATCAATCCAGTAATATTCTGAAAAAGAGTTTTTTACATAGACTAATTAAGGTTTTTTAAATATTGTCTCTCTATATTCCACCACCGCCGCATTGAGTTTTGAACTTGGTGATACATTTTGTTTTTCTACACAAAATCTATACGACTTGAAAGCATGGAATATCGAATGTGTATTAAAAAATACGCCAGGAGTTACTATACAAGCTTTAAAAAAATCATTTTGTCGCTCGCACAATTGACATCAAACTGCTTGATTTCATGATGCAAATTTGAATTTATAGTAATAGTTTGAACTACAACACTTTAATATTGACTTTGTTTCAAAAGCATTAACAGGTATAAGTTTTTTTTTCAATGAACACATAATTTTTCTATTTATGTTCTCTTACCGTTATTCTGTTGAAGCTTAAGGTTATTTCATATCTCGTACTGAAAAAATTATAAAAGTTCTAAATTGTTATGCATTTTTTATAAGTATGAATAAAGCTAATTTCATCTTTTTACATTTGGTATGAAGACGTATTAAGTTTTATTTTCACATAATGTTTTGCTTTTCTTTTAAAAAAAATATTAATTAGCTTGCATGTGTTACATGCGGAGACAACCACTGGTATCACCCATACAAATAGCAACACTTCCATCAGATTTTATTATACATTTATTAAAACGTATTGATATTTTGATAAAAGTTTTAAATCTAACGGATCTTGAACATTAGATTATGGAAAATAAATTTGGACTTACCTAAAAAAATTTACAAATCATCATTTTCTAATTTATTTCTCTAAAGCTGTAAGTTTTATAAATTTAACTGGCGTTTTACTTTACAGTACTTCTAGTAAATATTTCCTATTTAAAACATTAGATTTTTTTACGTAGCATTATCTTATTAAGTTAAACTTTTAATTACATTTTCAGGTAGGTATGGAGGTAGGTACTTTATTTACGTCACACTAGATAATTCACAATGGGCATTTGGCGATTGTCTTGGAAACATCCCTGAGGATGATCCAAAGACATGTCATCGCCATTTTGTTCCTCTGTAGAGGGGATGACTCCCCTGCTTTGGTAGCTCTACTACCTGCGTGCGAAGTCGAACACTTTACGGTAGAACAGTTTAACGAGGACCGATACCGCGCACCCTAGATCCCTTCTCAGACAGATCAAAGTGGTCACCCACTCGCTTACTGACCGCAGCCAGTGATGTTTGACTTCGGTGTTCTACTGGGAACTGTGACTTTACGATCAGTCCACTGCGAGACAATTATATTTACAAGAGTTGTGAAAAATTGGAGGAAAAAAATTATTGTCAGTAAGTAAAGTGTAAGAATAGTAAACTATATATCTGGGAAGTGAAATTATCCAAATTAAAATACATAATTGTTGCACTCCTTGAGCTAAAATTTAAGCATTTTTCTTAGCAGATGAGTTTGCCATAAGCAAAAATGTCTTGAACTGTTTCTCATGATTGCCCTTCTAGAGTATATGAAGTTACTGTTAGAGTATATGACGTTTAAAGTTATGTACGTTACCATACTTTATGAAATTCTAAAATATTTACAATAAGTTATATCTAAAATATTTACAATAAGAATAAATTTGTCAAACTTTGCTGTTTTGTTAAATCGAGATAGAAGAACATGAGTATTTTCTTTAACCCTATGTTCATACTCAATTTACCAATAATTTCATTGAGTAAAACGAAGTAATATATATATATATATATATCGATTTTTAGAAACTTGTTCTTTTTTTAAAGTTTCTTCCATTCATTTCATTTCAAAAATGTGTACTTCTATAAAAAAAAATTTCTCATTTCGACTTTTTAATTTATTTTTTAGAAATATCGATAAATTATCCTTATTATTTATTAAAAAATTAGTTACTTTTTCTATAAATTACTGATGTTTAGCTTATATTGTGTCCTTGTCTTCCAAAACTAATTTTTTTGTTTTGCTTTTGAGCGTAAATGTTATCTAGTTCGTAATAGATTGCAAGTGTTTGACTTTAGGTATATCGTTCAATCAAATTAATTAGTAATATAGATAAAAAAACACCCTATAAAATGTTTTTAAGCCTGAAATATATTTGAAGCGAAAGTGAATGGAACAAAACTATTTTTTTGGATTTATAAAGAAACCTTAGGTTTAATAACAAGTTTTTGGAGAAATTATCTATACTTTTTGCGCATGTGATAGTTGAATTATTCAGTATGTTAAGTCGTCCCCACTTAATTGCCTTTCGGATAATCGAACAACCCGCTTATACGAATAAAATTTAAAAGAACCAAACAATTTTATATGAAAATATTGTTAAATTTCCTCGTTTAAATGTATATTTATTGTTTCCAGTTCTTGCTTAATTGCATAAAGAAGAGATACTGAAATGAAAAAATCCGTTCATTTTCAAGAAATGTTTCACCAGCTAGCATGAAACTTTCAGTTAAGAACATAAGAATAGAATGGATGGTAACTTCAATAGGAACTTCCAGTTCATTTGTTGCTCTGAACAGGTGTTAGGAGTGTAGTTTAAAAATTAATCAAATCTTGTAGGCAGTTATACATTGGAGTGAATGAAGGGAAATGTATCCCTCTTTGACTTATTTCACCCACGCATCACTTAAAATATAAAAAGTACCAAGTGATTTGCTTCGCAGTGAAGACTTGTGGTCCTCTCCTGGTGTGCTATTAATTTTGATAAGAAAAATTTCAAAAACCTAACACATTACAATGTTTCTTTATCTAAAGTAGAATAATTATTTCTTAATTTGATATAATCGAAAAAGAAAAAAAAATAGCAGTTTTGGAAGAAATAAATTTCAAAAACTTGTTATGGAAAAAAACAGCACATATCAGCCCCATTAGCTTGAGCTTTTCATATTATCTCTGATTAACTTTTTTTATTTTCGCAGAAGCGCATTGTTCCTTATGAATTCTCTTCACGTACATTCTGAAGTTTCATTAGAAAGAAGCTAGTTCGAAGAATATCTGTTTTCAGCTAGTTCAGTTAGGCAAACTAATTTTTTTTATTTTTTTATTATTTTTTATTTTTTTTTACTAATTTAAAATTTCGTATTTAGTTTAATTAGATTTATTAAGTTTGTTGTTGTTGCTAATTCCCATCTGGTCTGACGGGGTCAGACCAGATCAATGAATCCGTTAACATTGAGAAAATCCGAAACCAGAATGGGAGAGGAATAAATATCGTTCCAGTCCAGCCCTGAACAGATCAAGATATTATATTAAGTTTAATAAAATGAAGAGACCTATAATTCTTAAAAAATAATTTGTTTATTCAAAAGCTCTATATTTGGACATCAATGTATTTGTAAATAACTTCATTGTTCTTCAATGACTTCAATAAAGATATTTATAGTTTTAAATCAACTACAACAGATGAAGACCATGATGAAGACCGTGGTGACCCACAACAGTGCTGTAACTGTAACCTCCGAGAGCATTGCCGGCAGAGACATGTACAGCGGAGTGTGGAGCTGCAGCATAAGTCAGAAGTGGTGCAGCATAATGAGGTGCATGGATAGCTGCAGGAATGGGTGCATGGATGGCTGCTGGAAGTGGAGCAGCGTAAGCAATGGGTGCAGCAGGAGCAACTACCAATGTGGCCTTGTTGATGGCAGTGTTAGCGGGATCTTTTGGTTCAACTCCTGGTTCATTGGTCTTGATGTCAGCACGGAATCCGGCGGCATCAGCAACGTAGTTAACAACTCGTTGTCGACCATCAGCATCAGCCAATCCGTATGAGCCAGCTACAACACCATGGCTGCCGGTTTCTTTTCGGAAAGTAGCACCTGATGGATGAGCCTCATTGTAACCAAAAGCATAGTTTCCATGGTTCTAAAGGAAAAATTCGCAAGAATTAATAAGTTCTAATTATAAGACGATTCCTGTTGAATAATCAATGAAAAAATACTATTTTTTTGTAGGACGACTCTTATCAAGAAAACTATATATTTATTAATGTAATATATAAATATTTATGAATATAAATATTATTAAGCAATTTTTTCTCATAAAAATATTGTTTCATTAGTTTATATATATCATGTTTGTTATTTGTTTCATGCTTGTTTACAAGAAATATACTAATATTTCATTTCAAATTTAAAAGTACGTTTAGTAAAGCATATACAACTATAAACGCAGTTTATTGATAGTAATAAAAGAATGAGAAATATGCATTTATTTATTTTGGTAAAATTATTTTAGTTTTAACTCACGCATTAAGAAGGATATTTAATTTTTGTTCACGCATGTTCATGCTTGTTCAAGTTTTCAAAATTATATCATTTTTTTAAAAATTTTCTTTTTCTCTTACCTCTTGAACATTAAGGTTTTAAAAATAGATATGGTGGTATAGTTTTAAAAAAATATCTTTTAATAGGTTAATGAAGGCAAACTAAGACAAATACAGTTAAAAATACAACTAACCTAGAAGAAAATGGGAAAAATGTTAAAATAGAAACTACATGCCTTGAACACGCATATTACCATTTCTATACAAAATTAGTTTTTTTTAATTTTTTTTAAACCAATGCTTATTAAGTAACTAAACCACTCTAAATGGAGGCTTAAATATTTAAAGCAATAATAAAAGGATTAAATTAGACAATTAATCATTTAACTGTGTTAAAATAAAATTGGCATGTTACCTCATTAAATAGGTCTTTTTGATACAGGGTATTCGGGTCAAATAAAATATAAAAATGAATCGTTGAATTATGATTATGCCAAGTGTCTTATTCGTAAAAGATTATATTACGTAATGTATTTGAAGTAGCCTGAATTACAAAAGTAATAAACGAAATATTGACTAGCTGAATTCAAAATTTCAACCACAAAATTATATGTATTTATTAGCTTAAAATATTTGAATATGAAACGAAATTTGGAAATTAATGTTACAATACTTAATAGGCTAAAGTGTTTATGTGAAAAAGATTATTCGTAAGCTATTTATAAGAACAAATTAGAAACAAATGTTCTACTTACATCTTGACTTCTGTATTGGGTGCTGGCACCAGTACCAATAAGAACAGCTGCTTGAGAAGCGGCAAAAAGAGCGAACAAAATAAGGACCTGTAACATAATTTTAAGTAAACATTGATAGAATTGAAATACTCAAAAGAAATAATTTAAATTTATGGAAATTTAGAACCTTAAACATCACATTATATGAAAAGTAATAAAAGTTAGTTGGCCAAAAAGTAATCCCCTTTCAATTACATTGTTCTTAAACTCAATTTTTTTATTTTAGAGGTTTTATACAACCGAAATTTAAAAGAAAATTGTAAAAAAACATGAATTTTTGTGAATTAAATTTTACATGAATTAAAATTTTACTTAGATACTTCTTTAAATACTGTTCTAAGTACAATTGCCTTTGTATCCAACATTTCAAGCATTTACTAACCTTAGCAATCCAAGTGCAATATTTATGTCATTAATCTGTCATGCGTTTTAAAAAATAACTTCCTGCAATTATTGCTATATATACATACAGCTAAGAAGTAATAGATAAATCAACTAAATGCTTTTCTAACAGTTTTATTTCACAAATGAAAGTTAATAAAACTCATATAAGTGCATCATGAAATAATAGTAAACGAAGTTATTGGAATACATTAGTTCGTAGATAAAAAAAATATGCAGCATCAATTATAGATATAGATAGCATTAAGTATAAATCAAAATAATAACTTTAATTTTTTTGATAAACTTAATAGACTAAAATTAAATATTTGTAGAATTCATATAGTGCATTAATTGTAGACATGGATAGATATAATTTATTTCAGCTTTATATTAGTTATAAATATAAAAACAATGTCCGCAACGTAAAATTCTTAAATTTCAGATTTTAATTGACTTTTGAAAACATACTTAAAATAACTAGTGTACTGAAACAGTTAAAGAAAAATATCAAATGATCAGAGAACCTCTTATTAGTATAAAACTAAATACATTATTATTGTTATATACTAACGATACAACTATATATAAATTATTGAAAATCTAGTTAAAGTTAAGTTGCAAAATCCAAAGATAATATCGTACCTTCATGTTGTTGATTGCTGGACTTGCTTGTAAATCCGAGTGTTCCGATTCAGACTATTCACCTCTTTATATACCGTATTACAGAGCAATTAGTGAATAGTAAAAAAAAAATGTTCAAGGTGTCAAAATGTTTCTTTTGTACGTAGATGTAATCGATAACGTAATTCGAAAAATGTAAAACATTGTCGTTTTTATGATTTATTCAAAATAGGCATCGGTCGGTTGATGCCTTGTTAAAGGCGTGTCTGATTTTAACCTTGATCCCATTTTTTTCCCTTCCGGGTGGGGAATCTTTAATTGATTATTAAAGTTGCTTTTCATTTTTACCAGTTTCTTTAAATCCCTTTAAAGGATAAATCGAAAGTGTTTGTGTATGTTTAAATTAAATTTGACATATGTCAATAAATATAAGTGTTTAATCTATTGTTACAAAATTTTTATAGGTTCGAAGCAGAATTTATGTAAATCAAGTTAACACGCTTATCTTATGTGAAACGTAATATGTAAATTTGCACATTTGCACTTTCATTAGTTTATTGATATACTAATTCCTGAACACAGCTATAATAGTGTGCAAATAACAGACAGACTGCGTAAACTTGACATCTATTTTATGAATGTGGGGCATTAATTTTTCATATACTTCGGTTTTTAAATTTAAGTTTATGTATACAGTTAGAGTCTAAGTTATGTACGAAAAATAATCCTACTTTTATTTAGAAAATATTCAATTCTAATGTAATTTCTTAATATTTACGTTCTTATCAGTCATAACATGGTATCAATATTTCTTAATACGTTATGTATTTTAAACGTTTAAGTTTAAATAATCGCAAATTATCTAACTTTTTCAATATAATCTATCTTAATGGTTCATAGATGATAATAATGAAAGTGTAATGTATTCATAAATGTTTTTGATTTAGAATTTTACAACCGGTGTTGAACAGATGATCCAATTCTGCGTTTACTCTCAATGTTCAACTCCGTTGCTTTGTATTTTTGAACCTAACCCAGAAGACAGGGGAATACCTGGTTCAAGTCTTAGGAAAAACTAGCCTTCATGGAGAACGTTTTGGTGGAACTTACCCGCATTTATGTTACATGGAAAGGAAAACCGCCTATGGTTAGCCGGTAAAAGCAAAGGTACTCAGGATCCGTCTACCACTGGGGAAATTTTTCGTCTGTAGTGGTTGGTGCGAGCCGGGTTAGAATTCATATCGAACAGTAATCGCTGATCATAAATGTTTGCTTCAAATTGAAATTGAGGACCACTTCCTGCTGGATATCACTCTGAAAACTTCAGTTGGCTTCCTGAACAATACTCGCTTCACTCTTTAATCATATACTAAAATAAAATAAATTAGTTCTCTTGTTGTAGCTATATACTCTTACATAGACCGAAACTGTTTGACATTTCAATATTACTCGGACACTAAACGTGTACGTCCTAACGTATTTAAAGCGGAACAGTCACAATAGTTTATATATCTATATTTTCTCCTTATATAAAAAATCATACTAAACATATAGCGTTAAAAGTGTGTAATGCTCTTCATATTTTTTAATAAATATAACTGAATATCTATTAAAAAAGTTTATTTCGATTGAAATAACATACTGCTTATGTTTCCTACGTACAACCAACACATTGTAAATATTAAAGATTGAAATTTTGAAAAATAAGTCAGACATGAAAAAACACTTTTATATTTGTTTATGAATAATTGAATGATAAATGACAATTAGAAACTGGTGCTCCTGACTGGTCCCTGTCATTAAAGCTCAAATACTTTTTTTATTCCTTTAAATTGCGTACTTTACCTGTATTTACGAATTATTATGTTTTAGGTATTGTTTATTGTTAACGAATATTTGAATATAAAACTAGAAAAGCATTCGTACTTTTGCAAAACTTTTAGACGTGAAATAAAACAAATTTAAACATCATTTGTCTTATCAAATCAATATCAAATGTCATTAAAGAGTTAAATTTTTTATTATTTAAAAAACTAGAATAAAAATCTTTAGGTATATCTTTAAAAGAAAGAAAAATTAATAGCAATGTTGTGGCACTTAAAGTTTATTTGTTCTTAACGATAGCTTACAAATAAATTATGAGTTTCCTCCAGATTAAACGTGCTATTCTTGATTTATTCCTATCTTTATGTTTATCTGGAAGAGTTTATGTAAACAAGCTTTTAAACAATGATATATAAGTTTATGCATTCAAATGTATCTTATGCAAAATATATTAATTAATGAGATGTATCTTATTGAGTAATATGAAAATTATTTTAATAAATGTTCTTATATTTTTTCAAAAATTATTTTAATGAATGCTTTTATATTGTTCCGAAAATTATTTTAATAAATGCTTTTATATTTTTTCAAAAATTATTTTAATAAATGCTTTTATATTTCTTCTATCTAATTTTTTTTAAAGAATTACGATTTAACAAAAACTTGTAGACAATTTCAATTGTAGTTCATAAAAACTATTCAATATTTTCTTGTCCTTTATAGTGCGTAATTTTTAATTAATTAATCAATTTCTGCTCCAGAATATTAGAGTAATAATTTTCTACAGGAATCTCTATTTTGGGATATTTTTTTCAACAAATCTTACTAGAAAGATTGTTATCAATAAATTTTTATAATAGAAAAAGTTAAGATTTGAAAATTATTTACTTTTTTATAATAATCAACAAAGAATTTAAAAAAAAGGCATATTTATTTTAAAAACAATAAATACTACTTTAAAGTTTTACAATCTTCAGGATCGAAATATTTCGTTAATTACTTATAATTTACTTATTATTATTATTTTATAATTATTACTGAGCAAACTTATTTTGTCCTCTTTAAATATTATAAGCGTCGGTTATATGCGAATGATTGCAGTGTTTAATGTTTAGATTTTTTCCACCTGGAATTTTAATGTATATTGTACGATTCTGATAGAATTACTTAGAACCTATTTTGAAATAAAACTTTTATGAATGTGCCAATAAAATTATAATTTCTTTGTCTCTTATTTGTGTCATGAACATATTTATATTTGTCTCGTATTCGTTTCCTTCTTAAAATGTATCATTTCTTATTTTCATCAAACAGTCCTACATGTTCATTTTGAGTTGTAACGTGATGAATAACATTGATTTATTCGAATAAAAAGCTAAAAATTTATCACTTAAAAATATTTAAGGGCTATTAAATTAGCTTACGTCGCTCAAAAGTTTGAACTATTTATTATAGTTTTCTCCTAATACAAATTCTGAATACCGTGTTATCTTATGGTTCGTTAACACTTCCGAGGGTGACGTCACAAACCTACTGAGAGGCCTTGACCCTCGGTGGCTATGATTTAATACACCCAAACTGGTGGCTCAAATATGATAACTAGTGGTACCCGTTAACAACCGATGGAAACTAGTGGTAAATATCTATCTGACACAATATAAGCTTCTGAGGAATTCCTGAAAGCTTAACTGATCTTAAATTAATGGTATTTAATATCCCTTATTCTAATATCAATGTGGTGGTAATATTTTATCATGATAGTGATTTTTTTTTAATTTCAGATATTTTATTGAGGTTTGTCTGATGCAGATGAAAAGAGATGTAAAATTGTTTTTGTATGTATTTGTATGTAGACATCAGACAACTTGATTTTATTCTCATTCGATTTAGCGTAATGATTCTATACATTGGTAACGATACCTCACTTGCCTAGGCAGCAAAGTTAGATAGGTAAGTAAAAAACTGTACTTTTTATTCATAAAACACAAATAACTTTTAATATTCGCTCAAAATAGTCACTCGAAAATCGCAGAAAATACTATATAAGGTCATTTAAGTCTATTTGCCTTTTATCCCCTTATCCTTTTAGATATGAAAAATAAAATTCCTTGATATCTTAAAATCATTTTCATATTATGACTATTGTGCAAGGGAAGTGTGTGGAATTTTTTATTGCAGCTGAATAAAGATTATAAAATGCACAAAATTAAACGAATGTCAATCAATATTCTACAACGTCTGTGATTTCCTTTTCTTAACTTTACGAACAGCGTTGAGAAACTATGAGATAGTGGCGTTAAATGAAATATATATAAATATATATATAGATTAACCAAACCAAAGATTACCCCATTACGAGCAACCGTTCCGGCAAATAAGCAACCCTATCGGCAACTCCGAACTGCGAAATTGCCTTTAGAATTGAAGATAGAGTGGAATTTAGACTTACGATAGCTCATATTTTTTTCTCGTGCGAATTCCTATCAAGGTTCTCGTTAGTGAGACCATTAAACACTTTTTATCCAGAGTCAGATTGGCTGAGAATTGACTTAAATGGCTTCTAGTTACTGGAGGAACTCAACTCATGAACAGGGGTCCGCTGTATCCAGTTGGCGTGTTTACAACAGCATTTGTTAGAAGGTGATTGGCGATAAAGATTGTTCTGGAACAAGGATTTACTGTATCCAGCTGCCGTGTTTGCAACAGCATTTGTTAGGAGATTATTGTCGATAAAGATTGTTCTGCTACAGGGATTCACTGTATCCAGCTGACATGTTTACAGCAGCATTTGTTAGATGTCCTCAGTGGTAAACAAATCATGGGTTAGAGTCCCCTTACCGTCAGTGGAGTTTTTGGAGGTTTCCGTATCTTTCCTCTCCATTTAACCCAAATGCTAATTAGTTCCTTCAAAAAGTCCTGAAGGCAAGTTTCTCCCAATACTTGATCCAGGTGTTTCCCTGTCTTCTTGAATTCAAACCTGCAAGGCTGAGTTGAACATTGGTAGCCGTAAACTCAGAATCGGGTCGACTGTTCAACAATGGTTATGATAAATATCTGATGTTATACTCGAGTTCTTTGTCCTTTGCAGTTCTTGAACGGAGACAGTTATAAAGCTTATCTGTTCAGCGAAAAGTATATATTTTATAGTGGATTCCCGGGCTTTGTTTAATCTATGGGAATGAGATTACTGATTCACTGGCCTAAAAGGGTGCCTCGACTTCACAAACATCTCCTTCCGGTACATCATTTCGAACATTAAAACGATTAATCACGAATTCAATGTTTACGGTCCCAACAAGCTAAACGACTTAAATTTTAAAGGGGCTCCGTGCTGATTGAAAATACAAATTTGAATCATTTCCTGACCACTATAAGCAGGATTCATAGTCGTTTATATCTAGAGTTCTCACCTGAGCCTTTTGTTTGCTTAAAAGAAAATTTCCTATCCTTTTATGAACACTGGACTGAAAAGAATTTCGATGTATAGTTGCCATCATTTGGTGCTGAGATTAACCAAAATTTTTTACAGTGCATTAAGTTACATTTTTAATTTACTTTTTCCCTGTGATACTTTTTTTAAAATTATTTATTACTTTTTGTTGTTGGTTTTATGACTATACATATTTTGATGTGCATTTGAATCAATTTTATGGCTTGATTACAAAAACATTTCGATTAAAAAAAAGCACATTTTAATAACACCTTTGCCTTTCTTCTTTCAAACAATTGCTATTTCGTCAATTTTTCTGCAGTTTTTTGTTATCTACTTAATAATCTTTAAGTCAGAAATGATGGCAACTATACACCAAAATTTTCTACAGTGTGCAAGCAGAAATTTTCTCACCTTCAATCAAAATTTTATTACTTTCTGACCAACTAGAATGCTCAAATTATTGCTGGATCATTAATATAATGAAAATCCAAATTTCAGTTATTTCCTAAATAGTTCCAGCAAATTCCGTCTACAATTTTATTCGATTCAAAATTTTGGCCATTTTCTGTTGTAAGCTTACTAACCAAACACGATACTAAAAAGTAGAGAATTATGAAATCAATAAATTTTTATTTTTAAAGTGGAGTAAAAAAGGAAAAAAATAATTCTATCTTCGTCACACATAAAAGAAAATACGTAGAACGCTTTTTTTAATAAATTTTTGCCATCACCGAAAATCACGTAATTAAAAGTGCCATACAATTTCAATGAACGAAATATTTACTGTACAAAAATTAATTATAATTGGAAACTGATGTTGGTATAAATCCACTCTAATTAGGCACTGCAAAAAATACTTTATTCATAAAAAATTTGGTAACTCAAATATGAGCACCATATATTTATTCTATTTATCAAAGAATCTTATCAAATAAAACAATATAAGATGTATAGTTTGTATGAACAAAGCATATATATATCTGTACAAAAATGCATACATATCCTGAAGAATTTCACATATGTTTAGAAGTAGTAGGGAAGGGCATGGTAAGCGACGGGGTGCCAAGCAACTACTTTCTTAGCTTCTGTAGTGGTCACACCAGCCGGGTCTTGGTGGTCTTTGTCAATTTTTTCTGATGTCTTGATATTGGCTTTAAATCCACCAGCGTCGGCAACATATTCGACGATTCTCACTTTGCCATCAGGGTCTTTGACTCCGTAGGCACCGACTTTACGGCCAGAGGCATCACCTGATTCGCTATGAAAAGATGGACCTCCAGGATGGGCATCATGATGACCAAATACGTAATTACCTATGCCCTAATGAAATAAAACAATGAACTTAATTTTTATTTATTTTATTTATAACAGTCGTTTAACAGCCAACCAATTTTTGGGTTTACTACTACTAATGTTCAACCCCGTAGCCTTGTAATTTTGAACCCAATCCAGAAGAAAGGGAACTCCTGGATCAAGTATTGGGAGAAATTTGCCTTCGTAGAGGTCTTTTTGATGGAACTAACCCGCATTTGCGTTACATGGAGAGGAAGAGCACGAGAACCTCCCACGGTAAGCCTGATGGCAAGGAGACTCTAACCCATGGTTCGCCAAACTTTTTTGATCATCGACCCCTAGATAATTTTTCGAAATCTCCATCGACCCCCATAAAAGTAATTTTCTGTTAATTAAGATAAAACTCTATTAGATACTGTGTTTGTAAATTTATTAAAGTAATAGTACATTGCGTAACAATAGTTTTATGAGAAATATATTAATGTTGAAATTTAAATACCTTAATATTTATTAAATAATAAGTAATTATGAATAAGTAGAAATAATAAGTAAAGTAACTACAGATTTATTGCTTCTTAACCAATGAGATGAGTGTGCCTGGAGTTTTTTTTGCAAGGTTCGCTATATTGAGTTCAAAATTGGTCAATTTTAATTTTATATCCCCTCGTAACTCCACATTTAATTTCTGTACTTAGTACAGAACAATTCAATTTCTGTACTCAGTTAAGATTGAATTTACGTCTTCAACCATATAGGAACTTGGAAAAGTTAGCATAAAAAGGCTGAACTATTTCATAAAGTTCTACATATTTCTGCATTATATTTATATTTGTTCAAAATTTACTTATTGTTAAATTTTCAAAAAGCATCTTTGCTTCAAGATCCGATAATAATTCAGCAAACTCATCTTGCAGGTTGATGACCACGTTTTTAATGATGCGTTTATTAATTTATATTCTATAAAGAAGCTGATATTAAGTCAATTATAAAAAAGAATTCACAAATTTTACATACTCAATTAGATATGTGTGATTTACGTATTAAGAACTGTTTTTTCTTTGACCCCCAATCGACCCTTCCGATTCGGATCGACCCCCATTCGACCCACTGGCTCAGATCGACCCCCACTTTTGTTAAATAGACCCCTGGGGGTCTATATAGACCACTTTGGCGACCTCTGCTCTTATCCATGATCCGTCTACCACTGAGGATATTTCATATCAGCACTGTGATTGGTGCAAGCCGGATGCGGAATTCGTATCGACCAGCCATCGCCGGGTTCGAACCCCGGTTCATCTCATTGGAAGAAGAACGCTCAATACCCTGAGCCATCACGGCTCGATGAACTTAATTTATTCAATCTATCTAAAATATCTAATGGAACGATTGACGGTTTCTTGCATTTTCATTGGGCAGAAAATTATTTAGTAAGAAGGACGCTACATAAAGGTTAAACTAACTTGCTAATAATAAAGCCATAATCATTAAAAATGCAGGGCCAAATAAAAATAACAGACTGCCCTGAATAATTTTTGATCTAATAATCGGATTTTTAAGTTCTAGGACTCAATCTTAATGGCTCAAAGTGGTGACTTCAAATACGCGAATTAATAAGCGTAGACGGTATTTTTAGTTAGGAAATCAGACATGAAAACATACTTTCTCCGAATAAACATACCTTTTCTTCGACGGATTCAGTTTTCTGACCCCCAAAATATAGGGGGTAGCCGCAATCTGAGAAATATGGCCAAAATAGTTTGGACAGGAGAGTGCTTAAGGTTTTTTCTTTACTATTATTTATTTTTTATTTTTTGCGCACTGTACATAGAACGGTATTTGTTGTAATATTATTTTCTCTTATTTCTAAAATTTAGATGTTGTTTTAAGGAAAATTTAAATTGTTCACATGACTGTATCATATTAAATTATAAATATTATCTTTATTTTTAAATATTTTGTAGAAAATTAAACTTATGAGATTAAATTGATAAAATTGGTGCATTAACATTAAATAAACGAAATTCTCAACCAAACGCTCTTTAAACAAAATTACTAATTATGCGAGGTACAACTTTTGCTTGAAGTATTATTATTATTTTTTTGTTGTATATTTCTAACTATTATTCCTATTTTGGGTTTTCGCCATAAATATTCTGGTAAAAAATGTTACACACTTTTTGAAAAGCTGGGAAATAATTAAGTGATTAAGTTCAAGTCCATATTATGAAAACTATAGTTCATATTCAAATTGAATTAATTTATTATGTCAAAGCAGAACAATTTTAAGTTCATGATTTTTGCTTGAAATTAAATGCAGTAGGTTTCTTTAGGGGTTCAAAAAGTATCAAACAGTAATAATTTCTAAATTTTACTTCAATTAAACTTTTTTTAATATTTTGATAAAATACAGATTTTTTAAGGATTTAGCGACAGCCTTAACGTAAATTTTCAGAAAATATAAACCTTTCTCTTAGTTCTTGTTATACTCAATGAAAACTGATCTAAGAGAGCAGATCCGTAACCACATAAAGAGGAACGACTTCTTGTTGGGAATAATTGCGAGATTATGCATAGTACTCTATGGTTTCATACTAACTCTAACGAAAAAGCTATTTCAGTTCCATAGCGCATTCGCAAAATTTTCAACTCCCAAATACGTAAAATATCAACATTTTCAACTACCAAATACATAAAATACCAAAATTTTTCAACTACCAAGTGCTGCTGCTAAAGATAAAACAAAATAAATAAAAAATCAACTAATCAGGGACTGAAAATGAGATTAGTTTTATTAACAATGCAATACAAACGCTATGCGATGTAATTAAATAAGATAACAATTAAATAAATTATTAAAATACCATAAATTTTAATGGTTTTTTTTTCTGAAGCAACTTTATTGTTACAAAAGAGTCAATTTCTTTCAGTGTACCCTTTTTTTTAGTGTACCTTAATATCTTTTTAAGATTGAAAAGGAACTATTTCGACGATAATGTGGTTCACTATAATGATAATATGGTGGTTTCTCATCTTATTAGAACTATATTCTGGTTAAACATGATATAATATTTTTAATAATGATTTAAGTTGTATTAACATTTCGAAAATTTTTTGATCTACATAACATATTAATTTTAAAAATTTTGGAGAATGTTGAGCTATAGAATTGATCAAATTTTCTGCATTCATAATAAGATGGAAAAACGAACCATATAATGATGCAAATTAAACCTGATTACAAAACACACTCTAAATGAACGGGGGAAAATGGTTAAATTTTATACTCAATTTAGCTTGAAACAAATTTGAACAATGACGTGTTAAATCCCCTTTTTCTGGAAGTGCACAAAAAAGTAGTAAACAATGTATTTTCTATTTTAAAGCTATAATTTTAAGAGATATATATGAAGCTATTGACTCTATTTTTTAAAACTAGGTTTAACCCAGCATGCATTAAGAAGCTATCTTATATATGAAAGTTTATTTTACACCAAACTATGACCTCAAAGTGCAAATAAAACTGTATTTCAATTGTTAAACAATGCATGCAACTAATTCTTTAAAGGAGCTGAGAAAAACAATAACTTAACTTCGGATGTACTTTCCTATTGTTAGATTGTTTTGTTTTCCTATACAACCTATTTATATTTCATAACATCTTTGCAAGAAAGAGTATAAAGGTTTAATTGAAAAATCGAAGGATTTTTGTACAATATTAATTTTTACTTTTATTTCATACATTGAATAAAAATAATTATAAATCGTGCTTACATCTTTTGCTTGATATGCTGATGCTGCCGGCCACCATGCAGGATGATAAACAACAGCTGCAGCATTTGAAGCTACTACTAAAGCTAGCAGAATCAGCACCTAAGGAGGAAAAAAACTATGCATCACAAATCATCATAAAAAATATTTCACCTGACATCAGCATTATTATGAAAGCACATATATTGACAAAATAATATATATATANATTATTTGCGCATCGGTAATATCGAAATAAAGCTGTTTAAAAACTTAGTGCGCCAACATTTGTGATACTGCGCCAAGTATTGCACTCTTTCCATCACGTGATTGTAACTCTTTGCTTGCTATCTGTGGCGTGTCTTTTCGGAAGGAATAAAGCGAACTTGGTTCCTCTACCTACTATTTCAACTCTATGATATATATATATATATATATATATAGATATAGATATCCTAACCTGGACCATCCGACCGAGAGAGATGAAATTTGGCATACTGATAGTTCAAAGCACGGAGGAGATAACAGTCTGTATTCGAACATTCTACTATTATGTGTTTAGGAGGAATGAGCAAAATATAATTCCAAAATATATCGCTTGATGCAATAAAAGATAAAAGATCCAATTTTTTCATTGGATGACAATGCGTGTTGTTGCACTTTTAATTGCAGATGATTCTGATTTCATTTTACAGATACAATTAATAAAATGACTAAGTTCATACGAGATTTTACAGAGTGTTTTTTTATAATTGTTTATCTTTGGTTCTTAATGTCAAGTGAGCACAAGTAAAATCAACTTGAATAGTTTCCGTGGTTAATAGTGGAGTCAAAGTAGTGCCAAATTCGTAGTTTAAAAACTATCTGAAAATCAAAATAATAAAAAAATTTCATTGAGAACGCGCGTTTTCAATAATCATATATATTTATTCTGCACTTCTAGGTTGGTAAAATTAAATCAACGTGGTTAGTTTTCGAAGATTTCGTTGATGACCGTTGTTATTTGAGAATTATTTGATTGTTTATTGCTTGTAAAGTTTTCTGTTTTATTCATATTTGTTTTGTTCTTTTAAATTGATTTCTCTTAATACTTTCTTTTCTTTTCTCATATTTCTTATTTGTTATTTGTTTCATTTTAATTGTTATTATATTATTATTTATTAAAGTAAATAAATACGTGAATTTTTGATTTTGTAAACCTACAACAATTATCATAGATATATATTTCATTTAACATAGGTATTACATAGGTATTTTATTTGCGTCGCACTGGAACTGCACAATGGGCTATTGGCGACGGTCTGGGAAACATTCCTGAGGATGATCCGAAGACATGCCTTCGCAATATTGATCCTCCCCTGCTTTGGTAACCCGACGACCTGTGCGGGAAGTCGAGCATCATACGATAGAACAGTTTAACGAGGACCGATACCTATCGAAATCTCAAACAAGCAAAAAAGAGATATCTCGGTTTTCTAAAACATCCGCGCAACGGGAAAAAAGTGAACACTGGTCAAGCCCGTTCAGTTGACACATCTGAACAACGGAAAGAACACTGGTAAATGTTCGAGCACACATTAGAGTTGGGCGTTGATTACAGTAATCGACTAAAACTGTTATTGATTGCGGATAATTAATAACTTACATAAGATGAAAATACAAAGAAAATAAGGGTGGAGATTAAAAAAGAGGTAAAAAAAAAGTTAAAAAGTAGAAAGAAAATAAAAATATTGAAAGTTCAAAAAAAATTTAAAATCAACCTAATTTAGAAAAAGTATAATTCATAAAATTAAATAATAATAATTCATAAAATATAATAATCGTAAAAATAAAATTCTGCTTAAGCAGGAAGAATGCCCTTCTATTGTCTGGCTAAATAATATTTTGTTAAATAATCTTTATAATTTTAAGAATGTTTAAGCAGTCAGAAATATTTTTGACAAAAATGCTTTTAATAGCACACTAGCATTAATTTACATGATTCACTGTTACACTACAAAGATGTAAAACAGCATTAGAATTGTATAAAACAAAACGGATACTCAAAAATTTATCAGATTGTCGTAATTCAGCTCTATAATTTAATGGTTAAAAGTATCCAGCTTATTTAATTTATTTTTTCTCCTCAGAGTATCATAATTTATTTAGTGCTTGTAACTGTCAAGTTTTTATAAATTATCCTGTAAGTATTTACTATTCAAGTATTACCAATTCATCAGTCATTTAAGTAATATCAGCTATTCCTTTATAATCACAATTATGGTGATAAATCTCAGTAATTGGATAGTTGTAAGTGCGCCCTACAGCATAAGAAATTCCTGATCCAATACCGGTAAAAAGTACCGGCACTCAGTGCGCCAGTACTTTTTACAAAGCCATTTTTACTTGAGCATGTTACGGAACAAAAAAATTTTTATTGCGTAATTTTTACAGTCTAATATTTCTGTCTACAATTTGATATTACAGTCTACAATTTGATCTGGGATTTTTATTTTGTTTTACAGTGTTTATTTTAATCGATAAAATTTTGTTTTCCATTTATCCGATTATTACTATCACGTATCAGTTACTTTCCTCATTTTCACTTATAAAGTAATTATTAATAATTTGTTAGCAATTATATATTATCCAATTACTAAAATTTTCCTAATGTTTCTAATTAGAATAATTTTAATTTAATTATAATATCGGTTTTAATAATAATAACTTTATGGTGATTGTTAACTATCCCAAGTATTAAAAGTTTATCAATTATCCAAATATTATCCCTTACATTATTGTAATCAATTAAGAAGGTAAAACTCAATAATCGGCTTATCGTAACTTAGCACTAGATTTTAAATAATAAAATTTCATTTTCTTTTATCCAGTTATTTTTTAAAGTTATTTTTAATTCTTTAAGTTATTTTCATTGATTTTAGTTACACAGGTATTATAAATAATTTTCAGTTATTTCACTTTTTTATTATTAAATATAAATCCAATATTTTAAATATCGAATCTATTTATTAATTATTAAATATGCAAGTACTATCAACTCCTCAGCTACCAAAGTATAACAAGCTGTGTAATTAGTTATCAATTATGAAAATAATTTAAAATCAATTATTATCAACTTTCTTTTCAAAATATCTAAAACCTGAGTGTTTGATCATTTTTTTAATTTAACGGCGTTGAATTTAGTTCAGAGATATGCCGAAATTTCGCGTTAGATGCAAATGCTTGACAGTTGAAGTAAAAAATAATAATAATTTTATTTGCATAAAGGCTGTAAATAATAATAAATCAGTGAATTTATAATAAATTAATCTATCGTAAAGTTGATCAATATCAATTATTTACTTTTTTCCCAACACTCAAAACAAATATTCAGCCAGTTATAACTAAGACAAAATGACCGCAGTGCTTGAGTTGTGTAGAAGAAAAACGCATGCTAAATTCGCAAAAATTAATATTCAGAAATCTAAATCAATTTTAAAATAAAGAAAAAAATCATGGAAGATTTTTTTAAAATGCAAAACCAGAACTCTTTAATAAAAAATTTTTTGAATTGCTTCGTTTGTTCAAAAACGATTTCTTGCAACACGTAAATTTTTAAAAATATTAATTTTTTTTTGAACATTTAATTTACAGACCAGCAAATAAATTTTAGTTTGTAGGATGTGCAATTTCGCATATTTTACTCTTAAATTATGAAATACAAAATTTTAATGAAATCTTTCAATTAGTTCTACATAAATAAATTTGTATAATACAAATTTTTTGAAATCGAATTACTGAAGAGTTATTCAACGGTTTTCACTAAATTATATTTTTCTCCTTTCAAAATTACATAAGAGCCTGTACAACCTGTTACTTAAAATCAGGTGCAAATTGATGTAATAAATAATGCACTTAAATATTAATATATTAAGTAATATAAAATTATAAACAATTTTAAAGCAATTTTAAAATTATAAACAATTTATTGAGCAAATTTAGCCGACTCAAAGATTATTGTAAAGAGTAGTCCCAATCACTTACCTTCATTTTTAAGAGTAAGGAATTGTTAGCTAATGGCTAAAGGCAAAAAGTCCTCGAAGCAAATCCTTTTTATAGGCTCCTATGAATAATGGACAGTTAATCGATGTAGAAATTTGTTGCGTCAATCTCTCTTTGCCCCTCTCTTATATTCTTTCCCATGAAAGCGTGAGGAAATTTAATATTACCTTTTTGCCGATGCACCATGCTACATATTTTGTTATTTTTTATTAGGGAACTTATTCAAGGTTTTTATGGTAATATTCTCCAACTTATTCCTAACACAAAATTAGCCTTGAATATTTTTATTTGTTTTAAAGACCATCTTCAGAATAATATCTGTAAAACTTTCTGAAACACCGTTTGGGTGGGGCAGTTTAACGGGGCAGATGCTATAAATCTCAATGAGTTTGTCACAAAATCTATATTTAAAAAATTGTGTATTCCGGTGTACAAGTCGAATTTTAAGACCTCCTCCAATTTTACGCAAATCAGAGGATCAGCTTATACAAACGTGATAAAGTTGGACATGGAAGTATTACAAACAATGAGATAGATATGAATAACTCCAAAAATACTTTCAAGAGCTATTTTTAATATTTTATTTCAATTTAATGTTTCATTTTCTCTCATTATGTTTTATTTACATATAAAAGTTATTTTGTGGTCAATACTTTAAATTACATCCAGAAAAAAAATATAAATGAGAAAAGTTAAGACAACTTATTCAAAAGTATTTCAAACAATAGAACATAATTAAAACTTTTAAGACATTATTCCTTAGAGATACAAATTTAAAGATTCCAGAAAATGGTCTGAGTTGGAGTCAATTACGTCAATCATGACGTCATACGGATCCCACTCTGCAATGGAATTGCTTCACCCTATTCTACTGAGCTCCACAAAAAATCCTCTTTTAACCCTTTTAAAGAATACGAAATTTCATACTTTTTAAAAGAGTTTTATTTAAAAAAAATCAAATTTTTCAGCTTTGGTTTTTTTAGAGGATGACGTATTAGGCCGACATGCCAGAAATTTGCTCTGGTCGCAACCAGAACTAGGGGGTTGACTTATGCAACGGATCAACTTTTTCACCGGGATATATAGAAATTATATAAACTTCGCAATTAGAGGTAGCGGGTTCGAATCCCGCCGTAACCCTGGATGTATTCTTTGTGATGTCTTTCTCTGAATTGTTCTATCTGTATTTTCTACTTGACAATGACTTATAAGCCTATATTGAGCACACAAGTCAGCAAATGTATGTAATTTCAATAAAATAAAAATAAAATAAATTTCGCAATTTCCGGAAGAAAAATTTTACTTGGAATCAAACTTCAAAACCCCAAATATTTCAAATTTTTATTAAACTTATGAAAAATGCAAAAGTACTTATTGTTCTTCATATACTTATGAAAAAAATTTATAAGCCGCAAAATTCATTATAACTCATCATAAGAAAATAGCCAATAAGGTCCTGGACACAGAATTTTAACTTTTTTTTTCTATTGCTTTAAAATTGCGTTAGTCGTTCAAAAAAATTTAAAGATTAATATTTGTTTCTGAATAAGTACGTGATATTGGCTTTAGTTTTGCATTTTTTCCCGAAGTGATACCTTTTCTTTACGAACAATATCTAGGACTTTCACAAATGCGAGCTCATAAAGATTTTTCAAAGATGGTAAATTAAGGAATAAAACACTTACAAAGATCTATCGTTTTTTTCAAATGGGAAAGCACATGACAACTCTGCACGTTTAGGGTTAAAGTCATCCAAAATCCAAGCAATTACTAAACTAAAAATAGTCCATCTGTATCTAAACGTAAACAATGAAACATCGTCTAGCTATACCGTTTCTACCAACCTTCATCAAAATTAAAAAAATAGCGCTGAACTTGCTATGCCATATTCTATATAGTACCCTACATTAACCGCCTTTCCAAAACGTAGTCTCGGCGTATGGTACTGGAAAAAAAACTGCACGCTATGTTTAATAAAAGAAAGTAAAGGAAAACAAATAAGAAAAAAAAATTTAAAAAATAAAATAAAACAAACAATCAAATGCCCAAAGCATACATTGAATATTAAAATTGAAAAAGTGAAGTCTTAATGTTTATTTTTCACTGTTTCAACCGTCTATTTTCCGTGCGCTATTCGGAAAATGCAGCAATTTAATTTCTTCGTGGATGTGTAAGCAATATAATCAACACGGATATTATTAATCTTGTTTATAGCCTTACCCATCGAATATTAATCATCAAGTAATCAATCGTGGAGCTACCGCAGTTCTACTAAGTAGTTGATGTTAATTTAATTAAAGCTGCTTTTAATTAATCTCTTTTAGTATGAATATATAATATTTTTTCATATTTTATAAGAAATTAAATCCTTGAAGCAAAAAATTAATTTTTAGTCATAAATTTTGCCTTTTAATGCATAAATAATTCTTCTTCTTTTCATTTCAGTTGCCGTTGATTTTAAATTATTTACTTTTATTACGTTTTAAAAGAGTGCTTATAGTATATTAATGCTAATTTGATGACGTAGTCAACTCATGCTACTTTGTTCATTTTATAACCATCGTTGAGCAGTCAACCCAACATTGGGTTTACGACTACTAATGTTCAATTCTGTAGCCTTGTACTTTTGAGCCCAATCCAGAAGACAAAGGAACTCCTGAATCAAGTATTGAGGGAAATTTGCTTTCATAGAGGACATTTTGATAGAACAAATCTGCATTTGATCAAGATGGAGAGAAAAAGCACGAAAACCTTCCACGGTTAGCCTGACGACAAGGGAACTCTAATCCGTGATCTGTCTACCATTGATGATACTTTACGTCAGCACTGTGGTTAGCGTGAGCCGGGTGTGGAGTTTGTATCAACCAGCCATCGTTGGGATTTGAACCCGCTACCTCATTGGGAGGCGAGCGTTCTACCCCCTAAGCCACCTCTGCTCCAACGTTGTTTATTGCATTCATCAAGCACAGCGAATAAAAATTAACTAATTATTGAAGAAAGTGCGATAACTTATTTTTTTTCATTAAATAGAGCTGTATATTAACAAATATGACTGATGTTATCATTGAAATATTTAAAGAATTGAATCTTCTATTTAAAATAATGGCTAACGTTAAACTAATCAGAAACTCGCTCATCCCGCTAGCATTATCTCATAGTTGAATATTCTAATAAACCCTATATAGAACCTTTCCTGAGCTTCGAACTATCAGCATGCCAAATTTCATTGCTCTCGGACGGGTTGCTTGCTATTAAACTATTAAACTATTTTTGAGTTTTATTCCTTAACATTCAAGATTTTTAAGATTGTGAAAGATTTTTATTCTTGTTTAGTATTGTTCATATATGTATCCTTTAGTTCAGCATGTAATGTATTCATCAAGGTGGTATGTGAAACAAAATTCACAACAGTATCTCTCTGGAAACGACAGCGTCTTTCATCCAATAAATAAACGATAATTGTTTTACGAATTTCCAATGTGTTTTGTTCCACTATTTTGTTGTGTATTTGTCGAAGCTGTAATCAGTTTTTACCGGTGGACATTTTAGATAGATTCTTTTCTCTTGTTAGGACTAATTGCTCAAAGCATTACGCAAACTTCAGTAATTTAATTTCAAAATATATTGTAAGGGGCCCGGAGAATTTAGTGGGCATTGGGCCTGAATTTGTCTTGATGGGTCCCTGATTGTTATGTCTAAATTATTATGTTTTTCCTCTCGTTTGTAATAATTTAATTTAAAAATAATTATAATTCCTCAAAAAATTATTCCAAAACCTTGTTGTTTAATTACGTTCATGCAAAAATAATCTGATTAACTAAGAATAACGTTCAATTACTTTTCCTACATCAAGTTGATTTATTTTCCCTTAATACAAAAATTCTAAATTTTAACTCGTCATTCATTGCATTTCACTAATTAAATGTTTCCATTTATGGATAATTATAACTCATCTGGAATTTTTCTTTAATGATGGAACACATGTTTAAAATGCGTTGCTAAAATCGTGACGTTCAAGAAGATAACGGCAAAGTGTGAATCCACCCTGCCCTCAGGGCATCTCCACCCGAGATCAGCCCATCTGTGTCCTTGTCGGCACTTCCCCAACAGCAAGGTCAAGTGATTTTATAAGATCAGATCACGTAAAGAGCAAAATAAAGACTTTTTTTATCAAAAAAATCCTTTGTTTCCTAATCTCTGCCTACTGTCGAATGTATAGATTCCCATTTATAAACTCTTACTTACACAAAAATGGAAATTGTCACATAATTCGTCAACTCGATATTCGAAGGTCAATTGCTTTTTTTAAAAAATATGTTCATTGTGAGATTGTTGTGTAAAATAGGTATCAAAAACGTGAAAATATAGTTATTTGTATGCCGAATAGCAAAGTAAAGTGGATATCTGTGTCACAACACTTTGAAAAAAAATGGCATTTATTTTTAAAACCGTTCCCATAGAGTTGAGATGCATGAAGCAGTTTTCAAAAAACGGAGAGCATATCATAAATTTTATCATTAATTTAAGCTATGGCAACAATTATGTTCAGTTTACTTCAATGCAAAATTTCAAAGTAAATTTATTGATTGTCAGTGACAGGAATTAACATAATTTAAAATATTTCAATAAATACCTTGAAATATTGTTTCCTACCAAAAGAGCAAATTGTGAACGTTCATTATATTAACTGAGATGATGTAACACAAAAGGAATTTTTGTTTTCAAATAGATGTTGTTAAATAAAAAGAATAAAGTTGAAATAGAGTCAATACGTAGTAATATCGTTAACAATTGGCAACAATAGATCAATTATAGTTTACTGAATAACAAATTTTTAAAAACAGTGCTTGGTGTTTTGATCATAAAGAAAAAAAATTCTGGTAAATCTACCATACTGTATGGTAAACATATTTCTGTTAAAAATTTTAAAAAAATCGGACTATAAAACCAAAATATAAGATGTTTAAATCATTCATTAACGTTTTCCTCTCATATGGTTACGGAGTACTGGAAATTTTAATTTTTAAAATTATCATTCTCTTTAATTTAGTAACAAATACAAAACTAAAAAGTAATTTTTCTCCGAATCAACGGTTTTTATGTAATGCTCTGAGTTATCCTGGTGTACTGA